AGAATTACAGTCTATGGACATCTTTACAGATTAAACTCGCAAAAATTAACTGGGAGACTCTTAAACTATTTCACAAAATTAAAGATGACCAATACGTGATATAAAGAAATATGAAAAGGAATTGGAGGAGCTCAGAATTACACCAGAAGATGTTACTGAGCGGTCTTCAATTAGAACCAAATTTAAGAAATTCTCAGGATTTGAGGACAAACCAAGAAAGAAGACGGGCTGAGGAGAGGAAAGAGAACCATTGAACGAGATTGAAAGAGAGATGGAAGCAAAGAAAAGAAGAAAGAGGCAGAAAGTTGAAATAAACGTTGCCCATAGTGGCACATTCGGGGAAAACATGACAATATTTTTATATTAAGAAATGTTTATCACGGGGTTTGATCGGAGTGAGTTAAAAATATTGAAACATTAGTTTGCTGACGTTTCGGAATCATTTTATTCCATCCTCAGTGCTGGTGTAAAACATAAAGACAACCCTGTAAATACACCTTTACACAAACTAACAACTTGATATACAATAATAACTACAAGACGTACACACCCTCCTAAAGAAGCACAGATAGTTACATCCTCTCAACAGCGTTTTGGCCGGATTCCAACCCGACTCACCACGGAGTGGCTGCAGTGCGGGGATCCGTCCCGCGCAACCACTCGCATCGGCCCAAGGCACAAGGTTGAGAACGGTCAGAACCTCGTGCTGCAGCCACTCGAACATGCGCTTCCGGTCAAGAAAGTGTTTAATTACATAAAATATAACAAGAAAAAAATCAAAAAATGAGGAAGTACTAATACTTTACATCAATTCTTAATAATATTAATTATAACAAATTAAAAATTAGTTATTAAATGTAAATATTTATATTAAACAATTACAAATAAATTAAGTAATTACTTGTGGAAAAACATAAATTATTTTATGCCGCAAAGTTTTTCGTACTTCAGGTCTATTATTTGGAGATCGATCCCAAATCCCGTGATCAATATTTTCTAATTCTACAATATGGTCGAGAATTTTACAATGGTAAATATTGTTATATAAATATACGGTTATATAACAGTAAGTCGGCCTGGATGGCAGAGATGTATAAGAGCGTGTACTTTGGTCCGAAGTGTCGCGGGTTCCAGTCCCGCCTGGGACATGGTTGTTTGTTCCTTGTCACCTGTATGTGTTGTCGCGGAGGGCCTCGGGTTCTGCAGGTTCTAGATCAGAGGAGCACGTAAGCGTGTTGGTGTCTAGTGTTTCGTCGAATATGCGTCCCATCGAGACATAAAGTTATGTTTTTACGTGGAAAAACTCAGGCCATAAGTCACGCTCGTCGTCTGACCACGCATATTTCGCTTCGCTCCTTTCACCTTCAGGCGGCGAAATAAGTGATTTGAAGTTAGCTAAAGGACTTCTTTTAGGCTTGAGAATCTTTTACATGCAGTAAATCTACTGCACGGAGCATCCGGCTTTACTTCCCCATCCCCCTCGAACAAAGCCTACGAAGGATTTTTCGCTCTTAAAAAACCACGGCTTCAATCGGGTTTGAACTCGCAAACGTGAGTGCATCAGTCCGACACGCTTAACGGTATATCGCCAATACCAAGGTCTGTCAGTTGGATAAAAGCCCTAGGAAAAAATATTACAATAACATATAACAATCATAACCCCAACAACTTGTGTTGTCCTTACGCCAGTTCAGTGCACTCCGTTGCCTTGCACCACTTCGCCCCTGACCCAGAGCGTTGCCGTCTCCCAAGGCCTGCCGGGCGATCTTTCTTCTTACCCTTCCGGGCACTCCACCAACCTGCGTGTTCCATTCGGAAAATCGTAAAAGGCTTACGAGTTTATTTCCTCTGTTGAGGTATACTCACTATTCTTCCTGAGACATAAGACATATTTACAGAATGTACTAGAGGTGTAAGTGATACTATTTTATAATCGAAGTGTGCGCTGCAAATATAGTGTTTTTAATTTTGCAACATTATGATCTGCACAACTTGATCTGTGTAATATTATGATAAAATATTGAAACTTCTCTTAATTTCTCAAACCATCGAAAATTCTTTCCGTGAATCTCAGCAAGTCCACAGATGATCAATACCACTTACTAATTGGTCTGGCAAAGATGTGATAAACATAATATCTTCTTTAGATATCATTAATTATTGCGATATATATTGAAACGAAGAACGTTTCCACATAATAATAAGTAAAATTGATATTAATTACAAGTAGAG